CAGCAGCAGTGAATTTAAAACTGTAAATGTAATTATGTATGTATGTATGTATTATGTATATAATTCCTATAAGTTATGCTTTTCAATTGATCAAACAGGCTTAATCCTTAATGACCCAATTGTAAACAACAACGGTATACAAATTACGGCAACTACAGAATTTTGATTCCTGTCTTGTATTAAATGACAAATGTCAATACAATAATAAAATTTGAAAAATTACAGATTTATTATTACTATTTTATTGACCCAAACTAATTTTTTCAAATTTATAAAATTATGAATGAGTTATTAATATTAATAAAAAATTAACATATTTCCAGAAGAAGCATAAGAAAAAGAAATTATTTTTGTATTTCAGCTGTTAAATAAAACAGGTATATAAATATCGGAGTCATCTGAATTGTTAGAAAGCTGAAAGGCATTACCCGGTGTCAAAATTGACCTATCACGCCAGGATGTATCCAGAACACAGCGTTTTTTTCCAACTTTTTAAATTATACAGATACATTGCATCAAATATCTCAAAATCCTGACGTGGTAAGCAAACTCTGATGAATTTGAATTTGCTCTTTGCTTTTATTTTTGTGAAGAATTTCGATTATAAAATTTCGCATTTGATCGGAGTCCAAGATTTTAATCATGCGTGGCAAACGAGCTGAGGAAAATACAATCATATTGGTTTAAGTCACATTTTCTGAGAAAATCACTAAAATGTATGACTTAAATATGCTCATAAATTTAATGTTCGCGCTCTAATGGATGCAAAAGGACTCCATACCAAATATTAACACCCTAGCTAATATAGTTTTTAGGTTAAACTGTTACCACCACGTCATTGCAAATTGTATACAATTACTTGACCGCAAAATACATTAAATGTTTTTGTCAAGATTTAATGTAGATTTGAAAGATCAAATCAAATATTTCTTTAATTAAAAATTATTATTATTTAGTTATCTATGTTTGTTATGAATATTATTATCCCTCAAAACTCTTTAGTATGGATTGGGGCATCATTTAAACCCGTATATGTCTTTTAATCAAATCCGTGTTAGCTATCCACAAACACTATCGCTACTATAAAAATCCTTTACCATGTCATAGTCACTATCTCCTTATTCTGAATTCAGCTTCCTTTTTGCATAATAAAAAGTTTCGATTTTAATTGAAATTCAGTTCAGTTTCTTCTGCTGTTTGCCTAACTGGTTCTATATTCCTTAAAAATTGTTTATAGAAAAATTTTCAGTCCTGCTATGTAATATCTAATTTAATAATCAATTTTTATTTCCCCATGTTATCGTCTCAGTGGTTCGAAAGCCTAGTAGTCATCGGTTCCAAACTTCTATTTACTCGCCCAACTAGTATTCCATTGCAAGTTTTGCAAAATTTGTTGACGTAAATCAACGTCCTCGATCTGATGTTATACATGTAGCTCTATTCGATTTGGAACATAAATTCAAAGCTGAATTAAGCTTCAGATGACGTTGACCTCTTTAAAATAAAATATCGGTTACAGTTACTTATCTCTCTTTCTGCAAAACAATACAGGCTTAAACCCTAACGCACTCGCATCGCTTTATTTCATCCCTATGATCGTATAAAGCCAGAACTGGGGCTGAGACTAATTTATCCTTTAAAAGTGCGAAATAATCTTACTCCTTTACTGAGTTTAGGTCTTTTAACTAATGTTATAATACCCTGGCAAGGGTATAAAAATAGTACCTCATTTACAACATTTTTATTCTTATTACTTCAAAAAGCATTACTCAAGCTCAAGTTGTAGTTTATATATTAATAAATTGTTACCTCTCTTACCTTTCCCTTGACTTATGGCTATTTCAGTTTTATTTCTGAATAATCGAATAATCTTAAAAGATCGATCTCAAGTGGTCATGAATCAATCCAAATCTCGAGCCCAAAAGTATGCGAGGGTCACTGAAATTTATAAGAGGTTCTTCTTGGCATATTTAGATGGATTTTCATTTACACAAAGTATTTAAAATATTACTTTAACTCAATTAGCTTTTCATGGGTTTTTAAGCCACTTTATTAATTGTTTTCCGTAGTCTTACAAGCAATGCAATGGCCAGGGAAAGCGTCCCTTTAACCCAATCAACCCAAGATAAGATTAAGATTATTACATAATTGGAGCACTATATTGTTATCGGTTCTAATATATCTTCTATATATATAAAAATGCTCTGTTCGTGTCTACATCCTTCATAGACTCGAAAAGTTCTGAACCGTTTAAGCCCAAATTTTTACACAACATGCGTTGAGGTTCCAGCTCGGTTATTGACTACTTTTGATGTTGATAGCTTATCTGCGGTGGGGAATATATCTATTTTTTTAGCGTTTCCAAGTGCCCCTACTGCTGCGCCATCTACAGGCAGCCAGCTGAATCAAAGCATTTCCTGTCAAACATTCAAAACATATTGAAAGAAGAAACTTGAAAAGTTCTGAACCGTTTATGCCCAAATTTTTAGAGAAGATGCGTTGAGGTTCCAGCTCGGTTATTGACTACTTTTGATGTTGATAGCTTATCTGCGGTTGCGAATATATCTATTTTTTTAGCGTTTCCCCGTGCCCCTACTACTGCGCCCTCTACAAGCAAATCAAAGCATTTCCTGTCAAACATTAAAAACATATTGAAAGAAGAAATTGGAGATACAAATTTTATTTTTTGTTCAGGTTCAGTAAGAAACGAAGTCATGCCACCAAAGAAGTCGAGATTGGGTCGTCGTATTCGCAATACAGAAGCAAAAAGACGTAAGATTACGAATATGACTGACGAAGAACGGGCCTCCATCCGAGAGACGCGGCTGCGCGATGAACTTTTACTCATACAGGTTAATGGTTCGGAGGACCGATTGCAATCATATATTGAAATGTCGTCAGTTGTTTCATCAGTACATTGTCGATATGTATGCAAAAATTGAAACAACGTTTGCTGTTCCTCCGATTGAATCAGAAGAAACTTCGGTCCGAGGAATATATCCATTTGCGGGATGCTGTGATGAATGACCGTAATACAACCAACGTTGGAAAGCTCACGATTTTGCCATCCTCATACATAGGTAGTCCGAGCCACATGCATGAATATGCTCAAGATGCCCAGGCATATGTTCGTTGCTACGGCCGTCCAGACTTATTTATCACCTTCACATGCAATCCAGCTTGGGACGAGATAGTTCAGCTGTTATTTCCTGGACAATCATATAGGGATAGGCATGACATCACAGCCCGTGTTTTTAGACAAAAGCTCAAGTCACTGATGGATTTCATTGTGAAACATGGAGTTTTGGGATCTGAGCGGTGCTGGATGTATTCAGTAGAATGGCAGAAGAGAGGATTGCCGCATGCGCACATACTGATTTGGCTGTATGATAAAATTACTCCAGACGAAATTGACAATGTGATATGCGCTGAGATTCCACGGGCAGAGGTTGATACAGATTTACATGCAGTTGTCATCAAGAACATGATCCATGGCCCATGTGGTACCCTCAACCGAAGTTCACCATGCATGGTAGACGGGAAGTGTTCCAAGCGATATCCTCGAGCATTTACAGCCAACACCGTAACAGGGGACGATGGATATCCTCTGTATAGGAGACGGTCAACTGAAGATGGAGGGACTTCGGCACTTTAAACATGAGAATTGGTGATATTGAGGTAGACAATCGTTGGGTGGTTCCATACTCACCACTATTGTCAAAATCATACAAAGCGCACATCAACGTAGAATATTGCAATTCCGTGAAATCGATTAAATATATCTGCAAGTACGTGAATAAAGGCAGCGATATGGCAGTTTTTGGTGTTCAGGCAGAAAATGGGGACAGCAATGCAGTACGAGTTGTCGATGAAATATCTCAATACCAGGCTGGAAGATACAAAAGCAGCAACGAGGTTGCATGGAGAATTTGTTCGTTCCCCATTCATGAACGCTATCCAGCTTTAGTTCACTTGGCAGTCCATTTGGAGAATGGTCAACGTATCTATTTCACAGAAAGAAATGTGCAAGAAAGAGTCCTGAATCCGCCAGCGACAACTCTGACTGCCTTCTTCACCTTATGCCAGGAAGATGATTTTGCCGGAACATTGATGTATTCAGAAGTGCCCTCTTAACCACAATATGCCACAGAGAAACGTGGCAGGGTACAGCTAGTTTTATATAGATCTATCCATTTTTGCGGCTAATGCATTGTCAATGCATTAAAAGTGCCGTATAGTCGTCTTGCACTTGTGTAAAACCCTGTGTAGCTCTCAAGTCTCTAATAAATGAGGCAGTGTTATACTACATAATTTACGCGATTAAAGAAAATATATATCAATATGTAAACGTTATATGTAATATGGGACTTGTTTCGCATGCCGTCCGCTTGAAGACATCTTCTCTATGGATATCAGTACTGGACAGTGTTGCTAATTTGTCCTTTATTTGGACATCAAATGTCCTAACTTCATGTTGTCTGTTATCATTATTTTGTTGTTTTTAATTTTCGATCCAATTTATAATTTGTAATTATGTGACATAGCTTTCATATCTAACTTTGGTCTTCGAAAAATTTTTTAAAGCGCTGCAGTCTTGTTTTATTTGTGTGTAATCGACATCAAGCGTATCGAGTATCGGATTATTTCGCTCAAAAATTATAAGATGTCAAAGGCGCATATAAGAAAAAATTTCGAGCTTCGGGTTGCAACGGATTCTGCTACAATTATAAAGTTCCTGACAAATATCTAATGCTGATAGGGTAAAATGCTGCTTATGAAGGTGACAAAAACAAATCATTGCACACGACACACTACATACACGGTACTGGGCACCCGGGTATATTTGATAAAGGAGTTCGACACATTATCAGATCCATTTCTTTTCAACCAACCTTTTTCTTTGGTTCATAAATAGTTACATTTGATGGGCAATTCGCACTTAAAACACACCAAACTACCCAGACGGAGATAATTTATCAACGGCTAAACAAACAGATTTCTTCTTCTGAGGCAAAATAATTTATTAGAATTATTTTAGCATTGCCTCACAATCTGGTTGTTGTTCAGCACCTTTGACTTAAAGCCGGCAGCGACAAGCGGAGCCACCTCAGATGGGTCACGACCCCGTGTTTCCGGCAAGTACTGTTTTGTTAGACCGAAGAGTAGCCAACAGATAAGAGAGAACGGTAGAAATACCAAGCCGCCCCAAGCTTTTTGCAAAGTGGGGAATGCCATTCCGATAATAAAGTTACACATCCAGTAGACGACGCTTCCTATAGACATGGCGATGGGACGGGAAGAGAGCTGGAATAGTTCTGGTCAAGTTTAAAGTAAATGAGGTTGGCACGGTTTCACTGAATATAATCTATAAAACATAATACGAACCTGCTCCAATGAAAAAGGGCATTGGTCCAAGGCCAAACTGAAAGAAGAATATGTAAAGGAATATACATCCAATGCAGCCCATGGCAAACCAGCTGAAGCTCTCCTGAAAGGCCAACGCATTATACTCAGTATTAAGGACCTTGTATACATATGTCTACTCACAATAAAGTAGAGCATCATGGCGAGCATAAAAAGAAAAACTGCGCAAAAAAAGGTGGAAAACAACATCAAGGGTCTCCTATTGAGCCGTTCAAGCAAAACTGGGCCCAACATCGAGGTGGCTAAGTTAAGGGACCCCGCCCCTAAGTTCGCCCATTCAGATGCCTTTGGCGAGAGACCCGCCTTACGGAAAATGGAGACGGAGTAGTAGAATATCTGCAACGATAAACGGAGTTCATATGTCACGTTTCAAGGCTAAAGGATTTTTCCATACTTACTGCATTTATGCCCGACAGTTGCTGACCGCCCAAAAACGCGCACACGATGATAAGGGGTAGCCGCAATTGGGAATTTCGCAACACCTCCACAAATCCGCTAGCAGCAACCTTGGAAGCTGCTTCCAGTTCCATTTCGTCCAGCTCTGCCTGCAACGCCTCACTATCAATCGAATAACCCCTAAGCAGTTGAAGTGCGTGGCGAGCTTCCTCTTTACGCCCCTTTACGATGTACAACCACTTGGGGCTTTCCTGATACCATCTGAGTGGTGCATAACAAGCTATTACGAGGACACCGTAGAACGACAAGCCGAAGTGCCACAGCTCGGGTCCTCCAAGCACTGACCGAAGACTGCAAATCTGTGCCACCACCACACCAAGCGTCAGGCCCATCGGACAGAGCGGTGCCAGGGTGCTTCTTTGGGAAAGCGCTGCGATCTCGCTGTGCCACATTGGCATGAAGGCGGTGAGGAGGCCGCCGGCCAGTCCAACCAGCAGTCGACCCAACAGCAGAAGCTCTACAGAGCCAAGTCGACACGTATAGAAGCAAATCGCTCCCAAGGCTAGAAGAATGCCACAGATTTGGAAGCAGCCTCGACGTCCAAACCTGTTGGCCATGGTGGCGCCCGTCACTGAACCAATCGCTCCACCCACAAGGAAGATTGAGACGGCAACCGACCACAGCAGCTCTAAACTGGACTCACCCAAGTGGAGATTGTAGCGTGAAATAAGAGTGTCGTTACACCAGGACCGCATGATCTGAATGTACATATAAGTGGAAATTTATGTGTCTATGTCAAATTTAAACTGTACCCACTTCGGCGGGACTATTCATCACTCCCGTGCAGTATCCAACAGGAACGGCGGCACCAAGGGAGGATCCAATGGCAGCCCACCTTAGAGACCAGCTCCATTGGGGTTGCTCGTTCTGAAAGTTGCGTGCAGTTGAAGGATGGGACAGTTATTTTAAACAAACTTGCCCGTTACCTTTACGTTTTTGTGCGCCATTAGCGGTGCCTCTACAAAACTCAATGACCGTTTCAGAAGTACTTCACCGACTTTTGAGTTTTCCATGCTGGCGAACTGTGCCTTTTGGAGGCATTTGTGAACACTGCTGAGGAATAGATCATTGCCACGAAATGGCGGGTTGTATTTCATTCGTCTCCACGACAGCATTATTTCCACCGAGGGATTAAACGAAGCGTTTATCAAACTCAGAGATAAGAGATGTCAAAGTCATCTGAATGCGCTAAGGGCATGGCGTCCAGGGCTGGTTTAGAGCAATGGGGTTGGGGCTAAATGTTTGGTTACAGGTCAACTGTGTTTATTATTTTCTTAAGTTTACAATTATTAAGAAGCTGTTTCCTTTACCGAAAAAGCGATACCGACTTTACATTTGACATTGAGTGCGGGTTTTAACTCACTAATGTGAGTTACCTATTGATATCATACTAATAGCTAGAAGTGGGGGCGTTGGGGCTACGCTAACTCTATTTCTTGCGTTTGTCATAAAACAGCGTTTTTTATTTTTAGAAGTATTTAAGGACCAATAACCGTTAGTTTGTTAAACCATTTATTATACCCTTGCAGGGTATTACAATTTCAGTCAGAAGTTTGCAACGCTGTGAAGGAGGCACCTCCAACCATATATATATACATATATCAACAGCCGAGTCGATCTAGGCATGTCCGTCTGTCCGTTTCTACGCAAACTAGTCTCTCAGTTTTTAAGCTATCTGAATAAAATTTTGTAGTTAGTCTTTTATATACTCTCTCTATATTCTAGTTTCCAGTTTCTGAGCTATCTGAACCAAACATTACAGTTAGTCTTCTATATACTCTCACTCGTATATATATCGGAACGGGTCGGATCGGTGGACTATATCATATAGCTGCCATAAGAATGATTGGAAAATTTTTACAAAAAAATGTTTAACAATTTAAGTTTTCTACAGATTTTCATCAAATTTGAGATATAGCCATTTTATATTATTCTACAATATTTTGTCAAATTTTATGAAAATCTGACGACTTTATCATATAGATGCCATACAAACGATCGTTAGATGTAGAGGAATAATGAAATCTATGAAAGTAAAACTGTAAATATAATATGTATAGGTGAATGAAATAAAAACAGGTACTACATCACTATTTTTTAAATTAAATATATATAATTTATATTGTATTGATTCCTAGATATCATAGTTCTATCTGCAAGGGTATATAAACTTTGGCGTGCCGAAGTTTCTTCCTTTCCTATTTTAAGTTAAATTAAAAACAATTAAAAGGTAGACAAATGAACTGATTTTATGTCCAATCAGACCACATTCGAGAAGTTTCGTACAATAATTTAATAAAAATTGTGTACATTTTTTGGGCTTCTAGCATCATTGATGATTTAACTGCAAACATTTTGTGATGAAAATTATTATATAATTAAAATATATTTTATTACAGATTGTCGTAAAACTTTACAACTTTTCATCAAGTTTATTTTTTTCTCAGAATATTTCTGGTAAACAATTAATGCATTTGTCGTATAGCTATTAGCGGTTGACGGTATTAGCTTTATAAAATAATAAAATATACAAAACAATAATAATTATGAAAACGTGATATCTTGCTATAATTATTTATATATTAAAAATTATCAAAAGATTTTTTGCAAATTCACAGATATTGAAGGCAATTAATAAAGCGAATACTTGAATACTTGCGTGTGAAATCGAATATATGTATGTACATATATGTATACAGAAGTAAATATTATTCCATGTTATATTAGACATGGTGCAGGCTTTTGCAATTTGACGATGGCGGATCAACAAATCTTTAAATTTGCAGAAAGCTTTAGAAGTGCAGTAAATAAAAGAAATATCTTCATTTAGTTTGTTTTCCAACTTTTTGTTATAGGGTTTTCTCCTTTGCGTTATTAAATGTTGATTGTACTTTGGTACGAAATTAGCTGTATTTTCCAACATATACACACAAGCACTATAACCGAAGCAAATAAATAGCATTACTTTATTTTTATTTCTACAGAACAGATAGATATTTTCTTATAATTAAAAAAAAAAACAACAAAAAAGAAGGCTAGCTTCGACCGATGTTTGTATACCCTTGCAGATTGAGATTCGATCACTAGGAATTATATATATATTTATGTCAAAAAACAATAAAGTAATGCCTACTTTCATTACAGTGACCCAAACATATTATATTTACACACAGTTTTGCGTTTTTCTCTATATCTAACTAGCTGTACCCTGCCACGTTTCTCTGTGGCATATTGTGGTTAAGAGGGCACTTCTGAATACATCAATGTTCCGGCAAAATCATCTTCCTGGCATAAGGTGAAGAAGGCAGTCAGAGTTGTCGCTGGCGGATTCAGGACTCTTTCTTGCACATTTCTTTCTGTGAAATAGATACGTTGACCATTCTCCAAATGGACTGCCAAGTGAACTAAAGCTGGATAGCGTTCATGAATGGGGAACGAACAAATTCTCCATGCAACCTCGTTGCTGCTTTTGTATCTTCCAGCCTGGTATTGAGATATTTCATCGACAACTCGTACTGCATTGCTGTCCCCATTTTCTGCCTGAACACCAAAAACTGCCATATCGCTGCCTTTATTCACTTACTTGCAGATATTTTTAATCGATTTCACGGAATTGCAATATTCTACGTTGATGTGCGCTTTGTATGATTTTGACAATAGTGTTGAGTATGGAACCACCCAACGATTGTCTACCTCAATTTCACCAATTCTCATGTTTAAAGTTGCCGAAGTCCCTTCATCTTCAGTTGACCGTCTCCTATACAGAGGATATCCATCGTCCCCTGTTACGGTGTTGGCTGTAAATGCTCGAGGATATCGCTTGGAACACTTCCCGTCTACCATGCATGGTGAACTTCGGTTGAGGGTACCACATGGGCCATGGATCATGTTCTTGATGACAACTGCATGCAAATCTGTATCAACCTCTGCCCGTGGAATCTCAGCGCATATCACATTGTCAATTTCGTCTGGAGTAATTTTATCATACAGCCAAATCAGTATGTGCGCATGCGGCAATCCTCTCTTCTGCCATTCTACTGAATACATCCAGCACCGCTCAGATCCCAAAACTCCATGTTTCACAATGAAATCCATCAGTGACTTGAGCTTTTGTCTAAAAACACGGGCTGTGATGTCATGCCTATCCCTATATGATTGTCCAGGAAATAACAGCTGAACTATCTCGTCCCAAGCTGGATTGCATGTGAAGGTGATAAATAAGTCTGGACGGCCGTAGCAACGAACATATGCCTGGGCATCTTGAGCATATTCATGCATGTGGCTCGGACTACCTATGTATGAGGATGGCAAAATCGTGAGCTTTCCAACGTTGGTTGTATTACGGTTATTCATCACAGCATCCCGCAAATGGATATATTCCTCGGACCGAAGTTTCTTCTGATTCAATCGGAGGAACAGCAAACGTTGTTTCAATTTTTGCATACATATCGACAATGTACTGATGAAACAACTGACGACATTTTAATATATGATTGCAATCGGTCCTCCGAACCATTAACCTGTATGAGTAAAAGTTCATCGCGCAGCCGCGTCTCTCGGATGGAGGCCCGTTCTTCGTCAGTCATATTCGTAATCTTACGTCTTTTTGCTTCTGTATTGCGAATACGACGACCCAATCTCGACTTCTTTGGTGGCATGACTTCGTTTCTTACTGAACCTGAACAAAAAATAAAATTTGTATCTCCAATTTCTTCTTTCAATTTGTTTTTAATGTTTGACAGGAAATGCTTTGATTTGCTTGTAGAGGGCGCAGTAGTAGGGGCACGGGGAAACGCTAAAAAAAATAGATATATTCGCAACCGCAGATAAGCTATCAACATCAAAAGTAGTCAATAACCGAGCTGGAACCTCAACGCATGTTCTCTAAAAATTTGGGCATAAACGGTTCAGAACTTTTCAAGTTTCTTCTTTCAATATGTTTTGAATGTTTGACAGGAATTGCTTTGATTCAGCTGGCTGCCTGTAGATGGCGCAGCAGTAGGGGCACTTGGAAACGCTAAAAAATAGATATATTCGCCACCGCAGATAAGCTATCAACATCAAAAGTAGTCAATAACCGAGCTGGAACCTCAACGCATGTTGTGTAAAAATTTGGGCTTAAACGGTTCAGAACTTTTCGAGTCTATGAAGGATGTAGACACGAACAGAGCATTTTTATATATATAGATGATCCTTTGTTTGACAGCTTTATAATATAGACCTCCGATTTTCATAAAATTAAAACCGAAAGTTTGGAATAATACAAAATTGCTTAACCTCAAAAGTAAATTTTTTTTGTTTTAACTTTCCGATCGATTTTATGGCAGCTACATGATATGATCCAGCCCATTTCGACTTGTACATATACGAGTGAGTAAATAGAAGGCTAATTGCAAAGTTTCAGTAAGATAGCTTCAAAACTGAGAGACTAGTTTGCGTAGAAACAGACAGACGGACATGGCTAGATCAACTCGGCTGTTGATGTTGACCAAGAATATATGTAGTTTATATGTTCGGAGATGACTCCTTCACTGCGTTGCTAACTGACTGTCTTAAATTATAATACCCTGTAAGGGTATAAATATTAGACGCACACAAAAACATATAAAAAAAACCAAAAATTAATTTTTTACGAATTTAAGTTTTTATTATGGCATTGCCTTAAACACTGATAGTGCGAAAAATGTTGAAGCCACTGTTGGCTGTCGAGAGCAGTACGCCAGGCAGTTGAGCATGCCAGTGCAGCTCCTTGATTTCCTTTTGGCCCTGATGAATGAAAAGCAGCTGCGGGGGCAGCTGGCTGAGCTCGTCTTCATTTCGGGCTTGTACCTGCGCCTGGTCGGGATCGTTTTCGACGGCAAGATCCCACAATGCAATTTGGTCATCATCGCCGCCCGAGGCCAACACTGTAGCCTCGCTTGGACACCATTCCACGGTGGTAATATGATCTGTATGGTGCTTAAAGGTAGCAATGGGCCTCTGACTATTAAACTGGCGCAAATCCCAGACATGGAGAAATCCATCGTCCCCGCCACTGGCGATGAATGGCTCAGAACGGTTCCAGGAGATTACGTTGATGTCGCTCTCGTGGGCGTCTGTACAAGTAATCATGCAGGCCTTTTGCGGTGCAGCACGACAGTCCCAGATGCGGATGGTCTTGTCCACCGAACACGAAGCGAGAACACTGCGCTCATTAGGACTCCACTGCAGGTCTTCGACGGACTGTGTATGCCCCGCCAATGGCCGTTGATCTACCTTCCAGGTGCCGTCCTCCAGGGACTCCACACATGTATGTCTCGTCGACAGTCGCCAGTGGCAAGAACGCCCTCTGCACATGGACTCCAGTCTACGGCGTAGCCTTCCTGTTGATGTCCGCTAAAGGAGTAAACTGGATGGGTCTCTGTTTGTTCATACTTTTTAAGCCACTGAGCATCTTCTACGGCCTGCAAGGGCTGAGTCAGATTCCAAATGTTAACGCGCCCAAGCTCACTCCAAGACGCGGCGAATACCGTGTTGCCCAGACGGCGGGCGCGCACTCGGTTAACACAGCCCTGGTGCTTTATAAGAGCGCAAGTCATCTGTGGCTTCTTAAGATCCTCGCGATCAACAACGTCATCCTGATCGTCGTCCAGCTCTTCGTCATCGTCATCACTGTCTTCCTGCGTCTTGTGCATGTTGCCCATTTTCATCACGATCAGGTTGTTGACATGGGTGCGGGCTGCTTGCGTACCAGCCACGATGTAGGCAGTTATCGGGAAAGACTGCCGGGACTCGCCAAGTTCGTCGGGAATTATGTCAAAGCTCAGGCAGGGTGCACCTGTAGAAGCCTGGTGCAGCATAATATATGCACTCTCGTCGCATACCAGCTCCTCATCGTCAGCTAGACTTTTGCCGGGAAGATACACTTCCTTGGGCTGCTTGGAGTCTCCATCCTCTGCGTCGCTGTCACTGTCAGACATGTCACTCTCTGCGTCTTCAGGCTCCACAACCTCCATGTTCAAGTCTTCGTTTCTGTCACCGTCCATGGCCTATAATTTTTTATTTTGTGGGTGCACGTGCAGCACAACAATTATAGAGATGATTAACCCAAAAAACGATAGTCTCAATCGATAAAAAGCTGTTTTCAATTGCCGATATTTTCATTTAGTTGTATAAGAAAAAAACGAGTTGGCAGACCCCTTCGCTTTATTGACAATTTCAAGCAGCCTCGTGCAAAAGTAAAACAAAAATTGAATAAAAATGGTGAAATCATCTAATCCATTAAACTTCTTGCGTAATATTTACAACAATGAGTTCCAATGGTGAGTGATGACGAGCATCCTCCGGCAAGACTTTATATAACCATTGTATTCAATTCTCCAAAGGATGCTTGTCAAGAGCTATGGCCTGTTCTTTCTGGGAGTTCGAATAGCCAAGGAATTCGTAGGCGTGGAACTGATGCCAGCCCTGGGACCAGCGTAGTCATTTAAACCAAATGAAATTCTTTGCATATAAATAAAACTGTTAAAAGTAAATTAAGTATAATGAACTATGAATGGACATATGTATGTATGTATATACAATTTAAATGTTTTGTAGAGCGGATAGGTTTAGATTCTGCTGACCATCAGCTCCTTAATCTTAGACTCATCAGTGTCAATCTCGTTTATAAGACTCTCAGCAAGCACGCTTGGCGTCATTTCCCGCTGCAAGAAATTTGCTACTAGCTTTCTACTAGGCACGGCCCCTCCGTGGGCCAGAATCTCGGACCGGTACTTTTCGCCAGACTGCCGGTTAAACGGGTTTGATTCAAAGTACGTCTGCCATATCCAAGAGGCGATCGTCTTCGATACGAGGTAGGCGTAGTATTTAGCTCCATATCCGACTAGATGAGAGAAGCGCAGTTGCCACGCTGTGTTTTCAACGTAAGGCAGACCATAGTATTGGCTCTGCACGGATCTTAACGTGTCCGTGGTGCTGACTCCTAGTTGAGCCGCCGCTCCGTGATACTCCTGATCCAAAGCGGAGTAAAAGACCTGCAGCTGCGTTTCGCTGGCTGCGAACAGGTGCTTGGAGGCGCATAGCCTCTTCAGCATATCTTCTGAAATTGGCTCATGCGTCTGAAAATGGCGAGCGAAAGTGCGCAAAACTCTGGGATCACCAGCGAAGTATTCCATGAGCACACTGGGGACCTCGGCAAAGTCCGTTGAGCAGCGCGTGCCGGTAACGTGCTGATGCTCGGTGCGCGCCAACATTGAATGCATGGCATGACCCATCTCGTGAAACAGGTTGTCCACCCTGGCTGGAGATAATAGCGTGGGTCCACTCCAGCGAGGTTGCGCCAAGCCTAGCATAACAACTACTATGGGCATCTGGTAGGATCCATCGGGCAACCGTTTGCCTCCTTGGATAGTGAAATGGCAGTCTTGGTTGGGCTTGCCAGCGCGCTCGAAGAAATCGCAGTATATGTAGCCTAGCAGTCCCTCTCTTTCATGTATCACAGCCAGTTTGTAGATATCGCTGTGCCAGGACTCCCCTGGTTCCATATCAGTGTTTTCAAGACGGACACCGTAGAGCGCATTCAAAAGATTATCTAGCCCTTCCATGCAACCACCCAGTGAGAAGTAAGGCAGAAATTCGTTGGCCTGTTCTTCAAGCGATTGTCGCCTTAGCTGGGTGGTGAAGTATGGCGTGTCCCAGATCTCTGCCAAAGGGCTCCCTTGTCCGCTCTCTCGTCGTTTCATTTCGGTCATAATGGCAAAGTCGGCTTGGGCTCGAGAACGCAGTTTCTCAGAGAGCTCATCAATAAACTTACGGACCACCTCAGGTGTCTCCATGGTACTGCCATTGAGAGCCCGATGTGCATAGGTCTCGAATCCACAGCTGCGGGCCAGCTCATGACGGCAAAGTAAAAGATCTCGCAGTAGTTCCTCCTGGCTCTGGGATGGCTGCAGGTACAGTCGATAGGCGGCTTCCCGCATCTGTTCGTTTTCTGAATTAGTGCACAGTCCCGTGATGATCACGTTGTCGCCAGATGTGGGAAAACTAAAAAAAAGAGTTATGTAAATGGTTTTTATCTAAGAAAAGTCTATAGACTATCTTAGGATTAAATCGTATAAATTCAAAGAAAACCTATTGAGTATTTATATAAATCGAAAACACAAACAAAATTAATACTATAAGTATTCAGATCATAGGGGCTATTAAAAAAAATGTTTTGTCTTTCTGGTTCATGACTTTAACTTCACATATTAAATGTCAGCTCAACTTTGCCGGTAAGGAAAAATAAAGTAAATAACAGAGACCCAGGAAACGCGTTCATTTCGATTTTTCTACTTCGTCCCCCAATATTACATAATTTCGCCTAAAATAAGCTATAAGAAAAATAGATTAACTTACTAGTTACGGATGGCTTCCGGCACTTGCCTTCTGGGAAGAACACTGGGCTGCGCTGCTCCGTTCATGAATTTCTGACCCAGCTGAAGGATGTAGTCATTGAGACGAACAACCCGCAGGCGTTCCTTCTCGGGGAGGTGAATGCCGCACTGCTCGAAGTCGAACAAAAAAAGGCAAGCTACATGGCGGTCTACCTCACTACAGGGCATTTTGTCTCCATGCTTGACCACATGGTTGAGGGCCTGATAGAGGGAGTGGTGTGTGTTCAGACTCTCCACTACACCGCAGATGCTAATACAGGCCTGCTCAGCCGCCTGAGAAAACTTGACCTGCGGGTGAGCTATCCGCACAAACTCAGCTAGGTCTGCCACCTTGCACAGAGAGTCTGAGAGCTCGTCAAAGATGTCGACCATCTTGCGACTTCGCTGCTCGGAGGTAGCTTCTAAAATGAGCTCCTGTGTCCGTGTTTCCACGTTGTCTCGCATCAAGTAAAAGCCCTCACAGTTTCGTAGTTCCCGCATGCCAAACAATCCCTGAAACGATAACGAGCTACCTTTCTCATTTCTTGACTGGGTTTTTTTCTATTGCGGCACTTACCACATCGTCTCGGGTGAAGTTGATTCGCCGGCCAGGCGGCGCATTGAAAGCTGTCGCCAAAGGCGTCCATGTTGAGGCAAAGCGATGGCCCCACCGGTGTTGCCTGCGCAAAAGGATTGCACTTGTCGCGCTTCGGCTTAGAAATTTCATAGCTTGGACCAAGCAATTCGGTTGTTATTTTTGAGCGGATTACTGATAAAATCAGCTGATGGCGACCTGTCACCAGAGTTGCCACCCGATGAATTTTAGTCGAAGTTAAAGCGATGAATTATGGTACCCTTATTATTTATTATTTTTAGTTTATTTATTAAAAAAAATGTTACGGCTAATTGACTGAAAATATAACAAGCTTGAATAGGTGATCCATACAAAAATATATGTATTAAGTAGATATTAAGAAACTTCGAATCATCGAATTAAAAACATCGATAATTTGAATACATCACAAAACAAATAAATTGAACCATAAAACCTACCCGACTTAATTGAATATATATATGGCTTATAATTGGTTATGAAAAAATGGAACCTGTTTTTAGGCAATCTCGTCATCAAATGAAATGTGTTTAATTTGGCATAGTCGAGCGACAAAGTTTAAGGAAACTAGAGTAAAAACAATTAAATTACCTTAAAATAATCAAGGAATCACATATACATAGTTGTATTGGCGTATTGGCGTTGATGCAGAGATAAGGAGCACAAAAGTTGTTATGTCCCTACTAAAGGACTGCGTGGCATTTGGGCTGGCACCGGGTAGCTCTCTCTTCGGGCCATGGATACGCTAACCCTGCTCGCCACACACAACAATAAATTTCGTCGATACTCGACGTTTACACGACACTATACTCCGCGCGGTTTATTTCAAACACGCGGAAACAAAGACAACTTCATCTATAGTTCCTCACACACACACAACGGACCTGGCTTCTCCTGATGAACTGGAGGCCACATGATCATCCCTTCCCTACCATGCAGCTGCTCGCATGAGTCGCAGGGGAAATATAAACGGTCAAATCAAATACGATATATAACCAAAAATTGCAGAAAAACCGAACTTCACTGCTGCACCGACTGAAGTATTTGGGACATACAAATATGTATATAAATATAGAATAAATAAATATAGGATAAACAAGGGATTAATGGGTAATAAATATGTGATAAAATATGTGATAAAATAATAAATAAATAATAAAAAATACTAAAATTGTTATGGCCACTTAAATATCGATAGCATTGATAGACCCACATAAGGGGTGTTATACGATTAGCTAAGGGATGCCACCCTGCCCCGATAGCAGATCGGTAGCATGCACCACCTTATGAGGAAAAAGGTTCTTGACCTGGAATGGTTCGGATCTGAAACAACGGTTCCAACCAGAAAAGAAAAGAGAAGGTGAAAAGAAACCAAAAGGAGATAGCGCGGGTAATTGGTTCCAAGGCACGCGAGAAGACGGGTCGCGAAATTTTAAATGAAAAGTGAAAAGAATTTTTGTAAATTTGAGTGGTAAATTTGAGATTGTGAAAAGACCACGAAATCGCTTGGACGTGAGCGGAGGATCAGCGAGAACGGGAAGCCGGTTCGGGAAAACTCAAAAGGGGAGTGGTCGTGGTCCGGAGGTGAAGCCCTATTATCATGGCTCTCATTTCCAGGCTCGACCAGACCCAGTCCTCGCAGAATAATTCTGGCCCGTTGCAAAATTCTGGCCCGTTACAAATTTCTGGCCCGTTACAAGATTCTGGCCCGATACAAAATTCCGGCCTGTCACAAAAATTCTGGCCCGTTACAAAATTCCGGCCTGTCAAGAAATTGGCCAGGCTCATTTCTATTTCATTTGGTTCGGTTTGGTGGCCACTAACTAGAAGACGTGGAAAAATTAAATATAACCCCGAATCGCGGTAAAGAGTCGGCAGGCATTTGTGCGCCAATACCGACGTTATAAATATAAAAAAATTTTAAGAAGGAAGAATCGTCGAGGACGGCCGACACGCCTTCAGAGTGGCGACACCGGGAGCTTTGCAGCTTCAGCCAATTTTTTTTTGTTTTAGATTAAATTTAAATGTGTTCTTTCGTGTTTGTTTGCGGAATATTTTCGTTGTTTTAACTATTTATTTATATATATATATATTCGTTACGTTTTTCAAAGATTTTAGTATTTTTTAATTATTTCTTTACAATTCCTTATTTATCACATATTTATTATCCATTAATGTATCTTATATCTATTTACTTATTTATTCTACATCTTTATACATATATATTCAATATACTTCAGTCAGGTGCAGGTGTTTTTGCAAAATTTTTGGTTGTCTATAGGATTTGTCCTTTCTATATATATTTTCCCTGCGACCCCCCCTTGAGAGCTCTTACGGGTAGGAAGGATCCTAATATTTTAAAGGGAATTTAGTAAAGTGAAGAAAATTTGTAAGAAAAATCGAGACCAAAAATCTGCACAAAGGAGAAGCAATTTAGCAGGCGAATTAACCTGCACATCACTTAATTATAGGATAATGCTTGTAAAAATAAATATAAGATGAAGAGTCAAA